GTTTGAAATACTACAAAAATAGTAGTTCATATTTTTAAAATACATCGTGAAATAATATTTGTTTGAAGCAAATTTCTTTAGTAATCTTTGGAGTAGCTGTCTGATAAACAATTCAACTATTGTCATAAAAGATAGTTTGAATACTTAAAGGAAAACTACAAAACAACGTTGTATTGATAATCAATATACAACTAAAAAACAGCAGTTTGAAATAGAATAATGTTAGTAGTCTATATTCTAGAAATACAACAAAAGATAACAGTTGTCTGATGCTAATTTTATTTAGTAGTCTTCCGAGCAGCAGTCTGATATATCTTTCAATTACTTTTTAAAGTAGATGTCTATATTGTTGAACAACAACACCAAGAATTAGAAGTCTGAAGTTAAAAACAACAGTAGTATTCATTATATATAGACAATAAAAAATCACAGTTCTCTTTAACTCTAAAAAACAGATGTCTTACTCATACAAGGAAAACACCAAAAAGTGGTACTCTAAAATATTACAAAATAGTTGTCGACAACCATTTTACACAATTGTTTTTAAACAATAGTCTGTAAATATATCAGACAGCTGCTCGGAAGACTACTGAAATCAGCACCGAGAGACTACTAAAAGAAACAGTTGTCAGCATCTGTTTTTGACGTAGTGTACGTATACGCACGCCTACTCGCTGTTCTTTTCCGACCAGCATCATGGTCGATCACAATCTTCTTCTTTCTTCAAATGAGACAAACCAACAAGAGAGAGAAGGGAAGCAGGAGACACGAGTAGGAGCAAGTGGAGACACATCCATGCTAGATTTCATCGTCATCATCACCTTGTTTCGATATTTTTTATCCTAAATCAATCGAGGTGAGTCGGGTTCATATGTCTACTATTAGGATCAATTTATAAAATAGTTCTTCATTCGTATATGTTCTATCAACTGATTACGTGTTGAGGGCATCATCTTTTTGAACATGTTGAAATCCATTCTTAAATCTTATGTTGTGAATTTGATGTAGGATCATGATTTAAGACTTCATTAAAGTTTTTAGATGCATGATGACTTATTAGAGACGTTTCAATCAGAGTCGTTCGGCACGCTAGGCGGTAGGCCATTACCAATTAGCGGTAGTAGGCTACCATATGGAGGTAGCAAGGTACCAGATCCTAGAAGCCAGGTACCAACACATGCCCGAAACCTTTACCAAAGTTTGTCCGGTCGAGGTTGCCGACTACCGGCCGACAATACTGTACTAGCGTCAGGCGGTAGCGAGGTACCGTTACATTTGATAGACTCTCAGGTAATTTGTACTAATTTATACCCATTGAATTGTTGTATTTGATGTATGATGGTAATGAGAGGGTCTTTGGTCCCTTAATAGGCTGATCTTTGAGAATTCGATTGAAATAATTGGTGATAAGTTGTGAATGATGAATTGTGATTGAGGAATGGGCAACCTAGTGTACGTAGGCAGATCTGAACTAAATCGAATATCCTGAATCACCGATAGGACTAAGATAGAATATCAGCCATGTGAGGCATGAGTGCATACTCAATGGCCTAGTGTTTAAAACATACATATGGGAGCATGCAACCTACCTTGGTATCCTCCTTAGTAGGGGCTTCAACCCGTCCTTTGGAAAGATTTATTGAGTTTGAGCCTGGCCTCTTAGTATCCGCCTTGAGTGTCGTGACTCTAGTTGATCTATTTAGCCTTAGCTGTCATAAGTTGAAATTAGTGATAGATGATTATGCTAGGATGATTCCTGTTTGATAATGTTGTTTCATGATATTGTGAATTACTTGCATGATTTTGTGTGGTCGTGTATGATTGCGGTATTATTTTGTAAGTTAATTCGAGTGTTAGATATATTCTCACTCAGCTTTCAGGTGAGTATACAGTTTGGGTTGCCTTTGGCTGCACACAAATAGGAACCAAGTGTGGATGGCCAGCAACTATTAATTGGATTATTATATTCTATCGAACTTATTCATTTACATTACAAGAATGTTCTAAGATGTTGTTTGTAAAAACTTCCACAACGTTTTGATTTATTACTCTAATAAGACTATATTTTAAATTGTGGTGAATGATTTGTTTTAAACAATCTTGTAAATATTATAACCCATGGGTTCGGGTTATGCTAGTTGGGGTGTTCAGTGCAGACTACTCTGCTCCATTTTTACCACTGCCTAATAATAATGGATTCAATGTTTGAAACTTGCCCCTTTTTAGCATTGGATGCGAAGTGATCCTCACTTCCGCCTTCGACAATAACTGGTTTTACCACTACCTAATAATAATGGATTCAATGTTTAAAACTTGTCCCTTTTTAGCATTGGATGCGAAGTGATCTTCACTTCCGCCTTCGACACACTCATCCTGCTACTGAAGCAATATTCCACGCCCTTGGTCTTAGTATTGCTCAATATGAAACCTTTAAATTCCAAGGTCATTCTCCACACTTCCATTAATCCATCATTGAGTCTTTTGTGTCTCATCATTTAAAACAATGTCATCAGTAAATAACAAGTCGGGATGTTAATGGATCGCGTTTGGCTCACCCTCATCCATCAATTCACTCTCAATCCATCATCCGATCATTCCATCATCCATTACATACAATATCCATCACCCAATCTATCCATCATCCACAGATGAAGCCGGTGAAACAAGTTCAAAATGGCCGGGTGAAACTAATATTGTTTTATATTATTAATAACATTTTACTACATTATTATAAGAGTAAATTCCCAAAATAGTCCTTTGTAATAAAGGATTTTCCCAAATTAGTCCTCAGTAAGTTTTAATTACCTACATGGTCCTCTATAATTGAGATTTATTCCCAAAATAGTCCTTTGTAATAAGGTATTTTTCCAAATCAGTCCTCAATAAGTTTTAATTACCTAGGTGGTCCTCTATAATTGAGATTTATCCCCAAGATGGTCCTTCATAAATAATGTTACTCAAATGAGGATTAATTGAGGTTATTTTTTTCTGCTAAATTTAGAATTAATTCTTAAAATAATCATTTATAATGAAATGCTTTCCCAAAATGATTTTTCTAATTAAAGATGTATATTTGATTTGAAATTTAAAAGATTTTTTTTAAGTTTTAAATAATTCATAAATTATTTATACTCAATGTATTTTTTAAATTTTACATTTAGTTGTACAGAAATGATTGTTTCAAAAATATACTTTAAATTTGGATTATCAAAATACCAAAATATCTCCCAATTACTGCTCATTTGAGGATTGATTTGGGAAAACACCTTATTACAAAGGACCATTTTGAGAATTTACTCATAAATAATTTACTCCCTCCGTCCCACTGTCTTTGTCCACTTACCTTTTGGCACACCATCCAATGCACTTCTTTAATACATTTTATCTTGTAACTTGTATATTAAAAAATTATAAAAATTATATATTAATAATCTATATGTTAAGACGAATCAAACAAGATCACACATGACTATTTTTAGGCTTACACATTGAGAAAATTTAATGAGTCAAAATGCTTAGATGAACAGTTCCAAAAGTCAAAAGTGGTCAAAGACAGTGGGACGGAGGTAGTATGAATTATTTAAAACTTAAAAAAAAATCTTTTAAATTTCAAATCAAATACACATCTTTAATTAGAAAAACCATTTTGGGAAAGCACTTCATAATAAATGATTACTTTAAAAATTAATTCTAAATTTAGCAGAGAAAAAATAACCTTAATTAATCCTCATTTGAGTAACATTATTTATATCTCAATTATAAAGGACCATGTAGGTAATTAAAACTTATTGAGGACTAATTTGGGAAAATCCTTTATTACAAAGGACTATTTTGGGAATTTACTCTTATTATAAAGGTAAAGATAATAATGATAATAAACCATCTAATTTATATAACAACAAAGTATATTATTAAGTTCTCATAAAATTATAAACGAGAGTAAGAATCAAAGTTCAATCACATCCACAAATTCTCATATGCTAACCAAGATAAATCTTCTTCTTCCATATTTACATTGTCAAAGATAGTACCACATGCATGTGCATTATCAAAAAAAAAAAAAAAAGATTTCATAAAGATTAAACAAATACTGTAATTAATGTTAATAATATCTATATCTATGTATCAAAAATGTTGAAGTTCAAGTAAAACTATGGAGCATTATTTTTATTTGAAATGACACATGCGTAGGGATTTTTAAACATGGTATTATTTTTTCTTCACAAATATATAAAGGAGTCGGGTGATAGATCTATTGACATGTCACATGTGAGCATTCACTCATCCTGTTATCCGATCCATCCATCATTCATGTATCATCCATATTAATTCAGAGTTTTTTCTGTTCCAACAAGTCGAGTGAAACTGGTATCAATGGGGTCAGGTAAAAATTGTTGTCCCTAACAAGCACCAAGGCACTTTTCATTGAATCTGAACGGAATGAGAATAATTAGCACTAAAACAAGTAGAAGATGGCTAAAGACTAACCCTTGATATAACCTCATCTCCACGAGGAAGTGATTACAGTCACTAGTCACCACCTAACGACCTCACCTTGGTCCTTGCACATCATAACGCATGATGAAAATTAACAGAAAAATCCATACTCAATTTTTAATGTAAAGCTTCTTCATAAGCCACTACATAAAACAATAACTTGGTGCAAACCTGATCCTTTCCAGAATAATTTTCCACTTATCAAACTCAGTCTATCATGTACTCCCTCCGTCCCCAATTTGATTACAAATTACGGGTTACAGAGTAAAATTTCCTACTTTTTGAAATTATTTTATTTACAAATTAGTATATCAATAAGATATAAAAATTACATATTAATAAACTACGTCAAAAGTTCTACAAAACAAGAGGTGACAAGAATATTTTATTTTATCAAATATTTAATGAAATCGCGTAAACAAACAAAAGTTATCGAGATGAGAGAAAAAAAAATTGTAATCTATTTAGGGACGGAGAGAGTATATGTTAAGACAAATCAAACAAGATCACGCATGACTATATTTAGGCTTACACATTGAGAGAATTTGATGAGTCAAAGTGCTTAGATGAATAGTTCCAAAAGTCAAAAGTGAACGAATATAGCGGAACAGGGAGTAATTTGCAAGATTTGGCATACAGGCATACAGTTAGAAAGAGAAAGGGCAGTCATGGTTCGCCCTTGACACTCACCTGCCGCAACCTCAGAGAACACTTATTTCAAACAACTTCATGTTGCATATATGGGGCCTATAATTATTTTGGACATATACAGGTACCCGCTGCGACATGACACAAACTAGATTCCGTCTTCAACTACATCAATAGCAGAAAGAATAAGAGAAGGAAGAGTTTAATGTTGCAAGTGACCAATTGTGTGCTTAGAAGATCAGAAAAGCCAGTGAGCATTCTTCTTGATTGCTGTGAGGATAGGGCATGACAATTTGTCTGCAATTAATCAGCATCTCATCTGCTGTCCAATTTCCCCTTGCCTGCTAGTTCTGGTACAAAGCATATTCCTATAGATAAGCCAGGGAAAAAAGGGCAACTTAGTTTTTGTTGCAGAAAATATACACATGGAAACTAATGGTTGAACCAGACAAAGGGAGAGAGGAGTCAAAGATCGAATGTGGTCACATTCAGTGTTTAAGGTAAAAACATCAAAACAAACGTATTATTCAAATGCTGGTTTACTCAGTTTCATTTTCTTAAATTATTTAAAGAACATCAAATATTGAGCCGGGAGTCTTTGAAAAGCAGCCTTTCTGCATGAATCAGAACGTTCTAAAATGGTGCCACGCTCAAATCAACCTGCTCATTGATTAAACCTGCTGCCATTCCTCCGACAAGGTATCCGCATGATACCGTTTGATCGTGAAAATGTTGACTATCAAACTTGTAACCCTTCAAACTTGAGTGCAAACTTGATATCCTGAAGGGGAGTGATGATAAATACCGGACCAGAAGCCCATGGTATGCTCATGCCAGCAAAGCAACGAGCTACTAAAGCAGAGAATAATGTGTGGTTAATTAGGAATAATATTAGGAATAATGTGTGGTTAATTAGGAATAATATTAGGCTAATGTGGATCTAGCTTCTATCCCTTGGCAGAAAATCCTAGTAGAATTTTATTGGTGATTTATTTATTTTTTGTTTTGTACATTACTTTTTTAGCAATTTTAGTATTGTATTGGACATTGTACACTCTTGTTATATAAAGACTTTTACCCACAGAATAATAACAGCAGAGAATTCAAAAAAAAAAAAAATCCTGGGAGCTATAGGTCTCAACAAAGCCGGGAGTTCAAGATCTAACCAAAATCACATCCCGCAAAACAAGTTATTTGCTAAACAACCCCATGATGTTTTTCCCAATTCATAACAATAACCTGGATCATATAATGTTGGGTGTGGGGAGGACTATATACCACAATAGTGCATGTAAACATCTACTTCGCTGAGTTGTTTCTTTTCCTAGCTGTTTTATATCACTCCATGTCCATGTCATTATAATTTCCTAATCTTTTCTGACTTTTTCAAAGGACACCATATTCAGTTCAACAAAACATTTGAACCATTATCAGCCACACAAGAACCACCATATTCAGAACTTGAAAATCCCCAAAAGAAAACTGAAAATACCATCATGCCAAAATTCGAATGCAATATGTGACACTGTAAGATCATTAGAGATAGAAATAAGTCATATTAACAGCAAATAGTTATGTTCTACACTGACTTAAAAATAATACTCTCTCCATAGTCCATTCCAGAATAGCTAGCATGGTTTGAAATTGATAGTCAGACTGCGTACACATTGACCATATTATACACACACACACACACACATATATATGTGTGTGTGTGTGTATGTATAGTCGTATATTTATACATAATTAAAGATATAATTGGTGTCAAAGTGTTGTCCCGGACACTGTTATATTCAAACTTTACTTAGGAACATAGGTAGTATAAAAAAATTGAAACTTCATGTTATGATGGTGTTTGCTAGATTATTTTACAAGTTTCCTAGTTTAGAAAAGGAAAATAAATAAAATACTTTTGAACAATATAAGCGCATGCATTGTTTTTAAGTACTTAATAAGTAGGCTAAGCAGTTCCTAACTGCCTTAAGTTTAGCCTACGCGACTCAAAAATTGGCAAGGGTTCCTAGGCAGCCCAAGTGCCCAACAGGCTCCAAATATAATTTTAAATTTTTTTTACCTTAAAAGAAAGTTTTTATTTTAACATTTTTTATATACTCCCTCCATCCCAAAATGTTTCACTATATGCAAAACGAAGTGAGATTTTAAGTTGTTTAATTCATTTTATTCAAAGATTGATATAGATTTTAAAAATAAAACTTACATATTTAAAAAGTATATTAAAAGTTCTAAAAAACAAGAGGTGACAAGAATATTTTATTTTATCAATTAATCAATCAAAATGCACAAAAAAACAAAAGGTTTCATGACTTTTGAATAGTGAAAAGTGTAATTCTTTTTAGGACAAAGAGAGTATAAGATAATAATAATAATAATAATAGTAATAATAATAATAATAATAATAATAATAATAAGTCAATAATGGACATATACTACATGGGTTTGAGTCAAACACGACAAACTTTGAACATCAATTAAATATAAATTGTATTGCATAATAGTATAAAAATGATTTCATTAGATTTATCTTGCGGAAAACTTTAAGAACTTTATTTTGTTGTATTAATATGCAATGTCAATTTAATGTAACTGATGATTAAAATTTGCCTTGCTTCACTCGAAAAAGTCAAACTGGACCAATAATCTAGGATGGAGGAAGAAGTATTACAAAAAATGTGATATTTTTTATGTTATCTTTATGTTTAGGGAGCTTTGATTTTTTTACTCATTTGATGCACAATATTTTACTTTAGGATCACATAATCACTTGTGAGCTTTCCCTCTTTGTCAAGTGGAAGGAGGACCACCCCAAGGGTTCAACATAGGAAGCTCACCCAGGATCGATCCCCCATGGAAGAAAGGGGAAAGGCATTGTGTGGTATTTTAGTTATAAAAAAATTATGAAAAAGTTGTGCCTTAATTTGCAAGGGTTTAAATGGGCTTTAGACTTGGAGGTTAACGTATCTCGCCTCATGGGCTGTAACTGGTGTTGGTCTAGAAAAAAAGGCTCAAACTAAATGAGGTGCACTAAATTCTAATATAAAATAAAAACTAAACATCAAATATGCATTAACATAACGTTATTTTATGTTTGATAATCTCAGCAATCCTATAAAAATATTTCCTCCGTCCCTCTCTTTGTCCAGTTACTTTTAGGCCTAAATAAAGGCTGGGATAAAGTAGTGGAAATGGTCTAAACTGCCCTTATAGGTGGTAGATAGAGGGTTGGGTACATTTAAGAAGGGAGGGGCAAAATAGATTATTTGAGCATATCACACTTGTCAAAAAAGGAAAACAAAAACAATGGGACGGCCCGAAAATGAAAAGTGGACAAAGAGAGTGGGACGGAGAGAGTATAAAAAATACTCCCACGTCCCGGAATAAGATTCTGCTTATTTTTTATTTGATTTCTATGAAAATTACATAAAAATAATTATGTCATTGAGAGAAGTAATTTTCAATTCAATTTATAAAAAAATTGGGGTAAAATTTTAAAAATAACTATTTTTATATTTACAAATTACATCAAAAGTTTTACAAAACAAGAGGTTGCTTGACTATTGTATTATAACAAATGATTAATGAAAATACGTTAGGAGTCGAGATATAGTTTGACTTTGTGAATAGTAAAGTTGAACTTTATTTCAAAACAAAGGGAGCATATACTTGGCCTATTTTAAGGCAGCGCTTAGGTGGTGGAGGTGGCCCTTAACTATCCATCTTTTAATATTTGATTGTTCATACCTGCTTCTTGTTTTCTTGAGCCGTAGGTCGTTTCCCTTACCCGCAATGGGCAGGAGCCGTTGAGGCACTAGGGTAATGTTGTTGTTGAGCCGTAGGTCGTTTGGAAATAACGTCCTTACCTTTATTAGGAGGGTTAAAGTCTGTGGCGTATACCCACACTCCACCGACCCTACATGTGGGACCTTCCTAGGTTGTTGCATACTCAATAAAATATAAGGAGTAATTAAAATTACAATTATCTTGAAGATGGGAAAACATTTTAGGAGAGGATAACCTCACAACAACAAAGGACACTATGCCATGAAAAATGGGACAAATATAAACAAGAAGCCATCTTTATGGAAAAAGACTAAAGTAGGAGCAAAACATTGAAAATATACCAAAATAGAAGTTCTATGTTTTTATTCCTGAAACAGGAGTAAAAATGCATTTACATTACCAATCATGACCATGTACATTATGTAAAATGCACATGTACACACTGTGAACTCCTATTTAGGAAATAAAAACATGGAACTCCTGTTTTGGTACATTCTCTATGTTTTAGTCCTATTTAGGGTGATTTCTTCCATCATAATCAACTTTTTTGCTTGCCTTTATTAAAACTTCCTCAGTACAGTATGGCATACAAGATTAGTTTGAATAATCAGAAGGAAAAGGAGATGCCATCAAAAATGTACTGCAACCAAGAATCAAACTGTACATGTTATTGCAACCACCAACTGTGGTACAACATAGGTATATAAGTCAAAATTTGATAAGAAAAAATCAAATCAAATCGTCATATCAAACAATATGTGATAAAGCAAGTAATTGGAAAATGATGATGCTATGCTGATCTTATACAGTACCTCTTATGATGAACAAAGAGCCTTGCAGGTAAACCCTTCATGCACAAGTTGATTAACTGCATCCCTCAACTTGATGTAATCATCAACTGTATTGTAAATTTGATGAGAAATGCGAGCATATCCACTAATACACCCCAATTCATCCATATTTCCATGTGATTCCCCATCTTTTGGTCCTTCGTAATGAATTGCCACTTCTACCATAAAACGGTTTCTCAAAAAAGATCTCAAATTGAAAGCATCATCTGCACTCAGAATTCCTAAGCTTGCAGGCAAGCCAACCATAACCATGCTAGCACACATGTCTGGCGGTGACCCAAGAGATGTTCCCCAATCTGTGGCTAACATTTCTCCCATTTCAACAACAGCATCGTGATTCCTCCTCCTAATTCCCTCAATGCCGCCTTCAAACCTACTAACAAATTCTAACACCTCAGGAATAACTAGCTGTGAGCTGTAGTCCCGTGTTCCAATCCATGCACTCTCGGTCGCCAGTCCATTTCCATATTCATGTGAAACCACTGGATGATGCAACTCAGAGAATACATCTGATTTTTTACAGTACAAAACAGCCACTGACGGTGGGCAGAAGAACCATTTGTGCAAATTTGTGACATAAAAATCAGCCCCGATTTCCTTAACATTCACATGAACATTGCCTATAGCATGAGCAGCATCAACAAATACTCGCTCCACACCTTCTTCCCTGCAGAGTTTGACCAAACTACACACTGGAATTACAACAGCTGGCATTGAAGTAATGTGATCAATTATAGCCAGACGAATTTTCAGTCCATTGGCTTTGCCCCTGGCCAAGCCATCACGAAACTTAGCAATGATTTCTTCATTGGAACTAACAGGAAATGGAAGATGCACTACAATAACAGAGCCCCCTGCACGGGTCACATATGCCTCAATTGACTTCTTAATGGCTTCAAATGCACAGTGGAGCATCACAACCGCGTCACCTTTCTGGAATCGGCCCTCCGCAAAGGCCCAGCCCACGTGTTGGAGGACAATTGCAGCCCCCGTTGTGGCATTATCTACAAGGGAGACCTCTTCAACGTGCTCAGCATTTATGAGGGTCTTGATGAGGTTGCGGGAATGGAGTATCCGTTTCTGAAAGTGGTTGAAGAAGAAGTCGTCTGGTTGCTCCAGGAAACGGAGCTGCCACCTTTTCTGGGCGGATATGATGGAGGACGGGCAGCTCCCAAACATGCCGTTGTTAATTCGAGCGATGCCATGTTTATGGTGGGCGAATTCTTGTCGGATTTCGGATTCTGAAATGAAACCAAGGGTGGAAGAAAGCTTTTGTTTCTTGAACGAATGGCTACCGTCTACGTCTTCGCGGTGGTCGTAACTGTCGCCGTTGATTCTAGGATCATCGCGAGGATCATCCATGGATGCCGAAACTAAAATTCGATCCGGTGAGCGTAGGGTTTTGGTTCCAAGACCACAACTCTGCTCCAGCCAACTGATTTCCTTATCCTAATCTATGTATGTCGTTTATTCGTACTCGCCAAAAAACTGGAATAACAAAAACTCACGAAAATTACCCATTTTTGAAGACCAACATTATTTGGAAAGATAAAATTATTTCTTTCTCAAGAATTTGTATCCAATTTTGTATACCATGCACCAACATTTTGTGTTGGTATAATGCTAATTTTTGTTAACGTACCAACATTTTGTGTCAGTGTAAATTTTTGTTAACGCACCGACACTATGTGTCAGTGTGAAACTTCAAAATGTTGGTGCATACCTTTGGCGTCCAAATTGGAAACAAATATTGGGGTACATGTAACATGCTCCTATTTGGAATATCACGATTGGGTGGAGGTATTTTGAATGGTCTGCTGGATTTTTTGGTAAGAATTCTTATATCTAATATTTTTCAAAATATACTTGAGTTCTTAAATTTTGTGATATTATACTTTAATGATGCATTCCGTCTATTTAGGTGTTAGGATTAAATGTTTCGTTATTTTAATAAACTGAAGAATTTTATTACTCCTCACGTCTGAAAATAATTTTCTCATTCCACCTTTTTCTTCGTCCGGATACAATCTTCCATTTTTACTTTTTAACACACAAACTATCTTTCTCAAAATACCTCCACCCAATTACTCTTTTTTCTTTCTTTCCCTTCTTTTCTCGACCAGATCTCTAGATCTGCCATTTCTTCTCCTCCTTCTCTCTCCCCCACGCCGTTCTTACTCTCTCTCTCTNCCTTCTTCTTCTTCCCTTCTTTCTCATGTTTGTTTGATTCCCAAATCAATGGCGGTGACAAATGCAATGGTAGGGTCGGCAGTGATGGTGGGGCGATAGTCGACTAGTAAAGACGGGGCATATGTTTTTCTTCTCCCCCTTAATATTTAGATTTTTTAGATCTAAGATTTTTGGGCAGGTCTGGTGGTACTGACACTAATGGTGAAGATTGAGGTGGTGGGGCTGTTGTTGGGGCCGACGGTGGCGTTAATGGGGGCGGATGGAGTTCATAAGAGCAAGGGGCAGTGGTAATTCCTTTGTGAGGGGCAGGGGCAATGCTAGCAAAAGAGGATGGTATTTAGGACATTTCCTTTCCATCGTCAACTCTCTTTAAAATGAAGAAAATTCAAAGTGGGAAGTTTATTCCCGGACTGATGGTGTAAATCAACCACCTGAGCAAACTGTACTAGAGCGGGTCTAGAATAGTTCGCTGAGCTTACGGAAACAAAAGGCGTAGAAAACAAGGATTCATCGGGAGGAAAGTAGGTGGAAACACCTATAGTCCAATTGTTATTAAGTATGTAGAAGAGTACTAGCTAGGAGGTATTACACAATATGCTCTAGAGAAATAAAGTTTCTTGTCCATTCCTTTGAGGGTTACAGAGGTATTTATAATGAAATGGAGGGGACAGAGCATCGCGCGTCCACATCAGCCCACGTTCTCAGACGGAACAAGGTGACGTTCTCTTAACCGTACCTGTAGCGTTTTGTCCAACCTCCTTTGGCGCGTAGCGCCCAGCTGAGGATGTTTAGATATTCTCATGATCTTTCATTGAAAATTGGTCACTACCGCCCGACTGACTTTCTATTTGTGCCGACACTTTCACACCATAGTAACCTACCTAGTAGGTTTACCCGCCCTACATTCTAAAGGGGCAGAAGACCATCAGCATGAAGTCACGTACTCTGATCGATAGGTCTACATTTTGCACCTTTTTCGAACCTGACCGGTGGTTTATTTTTAGTTTAAATCTTCCATTCTAATATGTTTGAATCAGACCGATCAGTTGCTGTGGACTCGGATTTGGACCTGGTCCTGAGTGGAATACACTCATTAATAAGCCCTCAACTTCTTGGCCTTATAAATTTATCAAGGGCGGAAAGTGAAAAATTAGAATCTGGCACTTGAAATTTGAAATTTAAGCTTTTCCCACCCAGATTTGTGAATTTGAATTTCAAAAATCAACATTTCGAAATCTATCACGCTCTTACCGTACGCCATCATTACGTTCTGCATGTCATTTTGTCTTCCTATGTGCCGCGCGTGCGCCAGCTAACGCCTCGTTTCCTCTGCCTGCCACACATCGTGCTATCCTCCTCCTTGCCAATATCAAGGCTTTCTCCTTCTTTCTTTAGTTGACTTTTCGCAAATTCACTCTCGATTTCTTCCTGGTCAAGTTCCTTCTCAGCCCTCTGAGTCTTCTAAATTCCAAGTAAGATCCTGATTCTTCTTTGCCTTTCATTACTTGTTATGTCTTCCAAGGATAGCCAAAAGGTTTCCGCTACCTCATATGCATCTGCATCCGAGGATTTTATCTCGTCCTCTTCTTCCTCTTCTTCTTATTCTTCGTCTCCATCCCATGAAGAGTCAATTCCCGAGGGTGTTCTGATTCTGAACCCCGCTCCTGTCAAATGGGAACCAGGTCCTTTTGACCTGAACAATGAGACACAGGTTGAATGGGAACACCACCTCTGGGAGGCAGGTTATTTTCCCCTCCCTTCCAATAATGTTAGGGAAACCCACACAGTCGTTTCCAAAGGTGCCCTAAATAAAGCCCTGGTTGCTCCCTTGGGGTTATACTCTCCCGTATAACCCTAACTTGCCCAACAACATTGACCCACACTGTAGAACTAGGGTAGGGTTTCACATCAAATCCTTGGAGGATAGCATAGTTTTTCCTCTCCACCCCCTCCTTGTTGGGGTCTGCCATGCCTTTTTTATTTTTCCCGGGCAGATAACCCCAAATGCCATTCCTTCAAATAAATCCATCTCTTCCCCTCTTCGTCTTTATGTTTGAAATCCTCCCCGGTAAAGCCGAATGTGAGGGTTTTGTTTTCTTCAAATCTCACCAAACCCAAGTGTTCATTCTCGATCTCCCCCAGGGGTGGAAAAACCATTTTATTTTCATTGACTTCCCAGAAGTCGATTTTCCGCTAACCGGTTTACGATGGAATGATCCCGTGTTAAACCACGAGTATGCCCTACCGGCCAGTACTGCGCAGTTGGAAGCGGACTGCAAAAAACTCCTGCAGGGCGATCCCCATATCGGGGTAAAATTTTCCTTCAGAAGCTGGGTTCAGAGAGTTAACCAGGGTGGTGAGGGTACCTCGAAGGCCCGACTGGAGGAGAAAGTGAAAGAAGGGGTACCCGGCTTGTTGAAAGACAAAAAAGCATGTTACGGAATTGCTAAGGCTAAATAGCTAGCTAACAGACCAGACAAGGTAACTTTAAGAGATCATTCGATATTTCATATAGATCATTCTCAAAGGAGCAAAGACACACACCGGGAAAGAAGTTAGAAAAACAAAGATATGCAACACAAGTACAAAACGCACACCGGGTGAAAGACGAAAAAGCATTCACATTCAAAATGTAAGAGTTTGAAGTCGTTACAAGTTCGACTGGCCATGGAAAATACGTTAAAGACAATAGAAAGAGAAAACTAATCTAAGGGGAAGGGGGTGCTGGTTCATCTTCAAGGATTGGGGCAAGACCATAGCAAGCTGCAGGGAACTCTAGATCATATCCCGGGCTGCAAGGATGCAATGGGTCGCTGCCTAGTCATTTTTTGGTCCATCTTGAAGCCAATGTGTGCCCGCTGTGGTGATCATCTTCCTTCCTTCCGGCTCCCGGTAACGAAGCTAGAAGGACTCCATTGTAGCTTTCAGGGTAGATGTCAGGACCAGGCGACTTCAGCCTTAGCTTGTTCTCCTCCACCCACACCCGGGCCCAATCAGGCAGCTCCCGCTCCTTCAACTCCAGCGCCTCTTTTAGCTGGGAGACCTCATCCATCAACAGGGTATTCTTCTTCTTCAGGTGCAGATTTTTGGCCCCAACCCTCTTTCAGCCTTAGCTAGCTCATCTGTTTGTCTCATGATCACGGAGAGCCTTCGTTGAAGTGATCAGCAACATATGGCCCCACCTCACCAAACTTCAAAATGATAAAGAAGAAACTTGTGTCGCATAAGAAAAAGGTCAAACACAAAAGATGGAAGTACCCGGTAGGGGAAAGGACTTACCTCTTTCAGCCTAAGGCCAAGCTGAACCCACAGGTCCTCCACGGAAGGAGAACCCAGTTGGCTATCCCCCTCTTTCTCTTAGTAGAGGGATGGGCGGTGGCCACTTTCTTCACCCGGGGCTTTTTCCCCTTGTAGAGCGAGGGATTCTTCATCGCCTCCCAAGTCGGCTGAGTCTCCTCTTCAACGATAATCTCAATGGTCTCGGGTTAGACCATGAAGGTTTTGGCAGAGAAAGCCGGCTAGGAGCCGCTTGGCCAGCTGCACCAGTCATTGTTGAAATGTCGTGAGAATCGAACTCCAAATTTGAAAGGTTAAGAGAAATTCATTAAGTATTGAACAAGAGACCGATACAAAAACAAAATGGACTAAAACAATGAAATCAAACCTGAGCGATATGGGACCCGACCTCTACAGTGTTGCCTTTCTCACCTCCTGGCCTTCTTTGGTACTGACCTACATTCCCTACTACTAAGACCGATCAGTCTACCGCAGCTCGTCCCACTCAGATCCAACACACAACCGAGGGTCGAACCCACGAAAAAGTTAGAGTCAAATCTAGAATCATGACCGACAACAATGAGGAACTCCAGCGTGCACCTACCCCATGCAGGGACGAACGGAAAAGAATAGGAATGTCATCCTGGGTATGTTCTCACTATTTGATACTCACATGCTAGCACTTATTGATTCGGGTTCAACGTTATCCTATATTTGTATCCATATGCCAGAAAAGTCTAACATTCTTAACCAAACAGTTAGTGGACAAAGTAAAATCTTCAAAGTTAACATTATGACATATCCTGACTAGGTATTGTCACGTTTTACTAAGTGGATAAAACCATACATTATAAGGTCAGATCGTATGTGTCCAAGTGCAAGAGCCTACAAATAATCATACCACAATGTGTGCACGAGAACCCAACGATGACCCTGTGGGTCTAGGGTTCACTTCTGATTACTGGACCCGAGGTCACGGGGAGGTATCCGTAGTAAAACTACGTATCGAGTAGTGCGGGGTTCCAGCCTAGACACGGCTTAGTCTGTAATATGTGGTTAACCTAGTAGGTCAAGAGTTTTCTAAATGTCCCCAAGTA